TCAACGAGATTACTCAAGTCACAATATGAAGTGTTCCCAACCCTATTATATTGATTCTGTACAATTCCAGTATGATTAATTATAAAAATCCTGCACCTAGGGACACCTGATGCGATATATGCAAGAACATCATTAGTTTTGTTCCCAAATCCAGCGTAGAGAGGAGCTGAATTAACAGGAAAAAGGGCTCGGACATCAGTCAAGCACTGAATCTTGAAAATTTCTGGTGTCTTTTCAATAACCTCTAAATGGAACGCACGAAGCAATGAATTGGGAGAGAGAAGTATAGGTCCATCGGGGAGATGAAAACAACCCTCTTGCTCTATTTGTCTTAGATAACTTCGTGTAAGACCTGCTTGACCGAGGGGTCTGGAGGACAAATAAAGAAATTTATAACCGTTATTTGCAATCTGATGGTATAGCTGAGCAACCCCATCGTGGGTCCAATCGCGACCCAACATCGGAAGCAAATGTCCAAGAACGTCACTGCGCGTAATCGTGCCATCTACATCAGATATAACTACTCGATCGGAATAATCCCATAGAAAAATAGATGCTGTACATGAACAGGTGCCCTGGTACTTGGTAGTTACTCGAAATTCAAGTTCGTTACGGCCTGGCTTTAAGCCGATTTGGCATACTTCATCCGAGGTCAAACGATTTCTTTTCGTAGGTTTATGAACTGGCTTTTGTGGAGGAAGTTGCGTATCCATTTCCTTGATAGAATGCTGAACATTAAATGCCTCTGAAGAGCGTGAGGAAGTGGAGTCATTTGCTTTATTTTTCAAGCCTTGATCCTCTTGGGATGAACTAGTTGTAGAGACTGGAGTATCAGTAGGATCACTAGTTCGCATTCCCCAACTAAACCACGTTTTCCTCCTCGCTTTCTTTTTAGGCATGTGCAAATCTTCTAACCTACGAAGAGTGAGATGAGGGAGCTCTGTTTGGAAGGCAAGCATGCTAACAATAATTGGAGCAGCCACTGCCCAATTAAGATATTTCCCATTCAAAAGAATAACAAGATTTGGGTTTGAAAGGATTCCATCAGGGTCCTGGAGGAAATCTTCGAAAGATATGAGATGTTCGTAAAATTTGTCAGCCTGAATAGGTGAGTCAGCAGTAAGATTACCACATAAGGATAATTTCAAATCGCTTGTTGAATGACAATTAGGAGTTGCACAGGGTGAACATTCTCCATCTGATTTGTAGCCTGCATCTATCAAATTAAAGTCATTGACAGTTTTCTTCCTCATTGCACAAGTAGGATTGTAATTATCAAGTGGGGGGTAAATGTAATTTTGCTTGATCTGCTCGCAAACCTTGGAAGTAACTAAATCCTCTAAGTAAACTCCATCTTTTGGGGCATTGTTACTTGATATATCTTTCGGCTGGTCCGAAGCAATTATTTTGTTACCATCGGAGAGGCAAGAGTCTGAATCTTTTATAAATTCGTCAGAGCAGACTGCTAAATCTTCAGTAAATCCAGCCCTCGTTGGGAAATTCCCCCAATCCCACTGCAAAGGTTTTTCAATTTTATCAGTCACTAATGTTAAAGCACTCTCTGATGAGAAATGTGGAGCCAAAGTCTTCGTGTCATGTAAAACCTCGGTTGAATATTCGCCATCAGAAAGACATTCGCAACCTCGAGCCATGGCTGAACCGGACTGTTTGTAGCTTGTGTCTTCATCACTGCAGATACCGTCAGTATCGAATAAACGAGAAGAATCTGATTCTGAATTAAAGAGTTCGCATCGAGCCCTTCGCCTGCGTCGCCGGTTAGGAGTTAAAGAAGCCTCATCAAGTGGACGACAATTAGAATATATCGTATCTGGGAGCGATTTCGCGTCATAGTTGGACTCATTGTCGCTGTCTATAATGAAGGTGCCTGGGTCTTCAACAAAGTATGCATCACCAGCGCACCCCAAACGCATGTGAATAAAGTCCAAATAATGCCCATTCACATAAACCTCAACGTGTTTGTCCACCGGATGAATCGCAGTCAATTTTCCAAATCTGACGTGGAAAGGCCCGCAATTGTAAGTTCCTTCAGCCTGTTTGATAACAATAACATCAATCGCGCCTGTAAGTGTTGATGAGTTTATGTCATTATATGCCCACTTGATACCTGAAAACAGTCTTCCAATGGACTTGCTAGGGCAAAAATGAGTAGAAGAGAGGACTTACAACGGTATCATGTAGTTGGAAGAGGTGCATCTGAGAAGCAGTTGATGTACCAAATTCCGCCAAACA